ATTGCGCAATTTTAAACGTTGGTTATAACTAGAGAAATTCGGTGATTATCGCTTTGTTTCGTAAATCAAAATATCATTGTAGAAAAATTAATATTTTTTATAAACTCATTTGCTTCCGCATCAATTAGAATTTGGTATTTTTAATTTCTAAAATTTGTTTCAAAAATATTGATATTGTTGTTTTGGAGTTAAGAATAGTTTTTTTAATTACTAATTCCCCCCCCCCCTCTTTTCAAATCCCCCCCCCCCCCCCCAATTCTTGGTGATTCTCGCGCTAGTTCCTTAAGGTTTAACAACATTCTTGAACTTCCAATCTAGTATTTGCATGTGCATGACCATGTGATTTTTTGACATGTTCTAGTTTTGTTGTCAAAATGGCCACCTATTGGCTCTATAAACTCTTCTGGCTATTTGCAGAGTAGCTGGAGACACAAGAGTATTGTCCCTCATATGGGTAGGCCTGCGACCCTAATCCATAAATTCATCCCTTCTGCAATCCGCCTACCACCTACACTCAAGTGCAGTAGTCAAAAATATCTGTGGAATCTCAAAGGATACCGCACCACATGCAGTCTGGCTCTCTTCAAGCTGTATATACTCATCCTACAAAATATTACATACGATTAATCATCGTATAATCATCACTCATAATATTTTTCTAAGTATTATAACCTTATATACCTATATAGGCTCTCCTCACTCGTCTACCTATTATTGATCCTCTTGGCGCTTGCGGGTGTTACTATTTAACTCAATTGTACTCGATTCTCTACCTAGCATCTCCTTTTGCAATATACTTAGATTAATATGCATAACCAAATAAATTATTTAAATTTGTTAAAATTCTTATCAATCGTCGCTTGTGCTTAGCATGTGGAATTGAGCCCCTAGTATGGAGGGAGCTACCCAGGCCCCTAATATTAGAAGCTCGATTCTGTTTATTCTGCTCCGCTCCCTCCCCTTTGTATAATCTGGGTTGCTCCAAGCACTATTGAGGTCGGCCCATATATTCTCTCCAAATCATAGCATTTGCTTCCCTATCTTCCTAATGTGTGTGAACATTTCTCGCAGGCGAGTTGCTTTGCATTTATCAAAATTCGTTCTGATATATGTACCATGCCCTGACAACCAGTAGAAATCTTGTTGTGTATAACAAATTAGAATGAAGATTATTCTTTATTAGCTTAATAAAAGATGGACATATGTTATCAATACTGTAGCTTACTAATCTCGATCTCTCTAAAACATATGTCACACACTTCCTTTAGAATTTTCTTCTAAGAAATATATGGAGTATCAAACCTGTTCAGTTGGATGTCTCGTGTCTTGTGCGTGAGCTGCTTTGACAGATAAAACCTTCACAAAATATTTAGCTAAAAATATTACTTTTCAAATATCTGAGTAATATAAAACATGCATTTGCATTGCATAAGTGTCACTCTAAGGATGAATCAACATGTGCCCATCTATGGTCAAAGTTGCTGCAGTTTGGGTGGAAGGTCTAGCTGCAGCCTAAGTGGAAGGTCCAACTACAGAGGGATGAGGGGGGTGGTGGGTAGTAGAATGCCGGAATGTGTGATGGATAGTGATAAGTAGAATGGACTCCCTGAGAAGATGGTGAGGCATAGTACGAGTAGAAGGGAGTCATCTGCGTAGGGTCTGGTGACTGAAAGCGGGGGTCTAGGGAGTAAAATTGAGGACTCCCTATGGGATATGTAGGCAAAGATGGGTTCGACTGGGTATGAGTGGCTGGTTGTGAAGAAGAGGCCCCCTGAGCACCTGCACCCCTATTAGATCGTCCACAAGTATTCTTCTTGCTCCTAAATATTTTTTTGGCCTCATTACCACCAAAAGCTATCTGGAAAAAATAAAATAAAAAGTTGTTTAGTTCTGAAAATGCAAAAAATAAGTAGTAACTGTGCTATAAGGAAAAAAATGTAACTACTGCTATGCTGTTTGGAAAAAAAGTGTTTACCACTATTGTACTATAAGGAAAAAAAATATAACTGTTGGTATGCTGCAAGAAGACAACATGCATTTACTATTACTTTGGTATAAGAAAAAAATAACTATTGTGCTATAAGGAGAATAATATGTAAAAAATGCATACATAAAAGAAAGATTGTAAGCCAAAAATACACATTTACCTCCTAACTATTATTCACTAGGTGATTCACTTCCATCTGATGTGATGAGACCACATCCTCACTACGAACATCTTCAATATTTTCCTCAATGTCTAATTCTACTTCATCTAACTGCAAATCAGTCTCATTAGGTATAATTTGATCATATCCATAAGTAGCAGGCTTTTTAAAGTTTAACATATACTTTTCTTGATGTATTGTTGGTATTGATGTGATATTCTCAATGAATCCATTACTTTTAGTTTTGATAATTACAAGCCAATCTTGTTTATCCCCTAGGCTACTTGGATAGGTAACAAAGAAAATATGGCTAGCCTTGCTAGCAATAACAAATGGATCGTACTTTCCATATTATTTATCTTGTTTTACTTCTTTAATACCATAAAGTGGATACACTCTTGTTCCCCTATTTTGCACTAGATAAAACTAAGCACAATTAAAAAGATACAAGTTGTTTCCTTCATCAGGATATTCCAACTGCAGTACCTCCTGTAAGAGCCCATAATACTCATAGTCATTACTCATATGGTTGTTCCCTTTTACACACCATAATTTTTTATTTTTCGACCTTCACACCAAACTTTGGTTTGAAATCTGTAACTATCGACATTAAAAATTGGCTAACATTTTATTGCTTTCATAGGTCCCCAAGCTAGATTCATTAGTCCTTGATGTTGCACATCTCTAGCTTCATTATGGATCTGATTGGTGCATGAAATGTATCTATGTTATTATCATTTTCACTAAGTTAATTGATTATGACATATAAGGTAGAAGTGACTTGTTAAAATACATACCGTACTTTTGAACGATTTTGGAAATTCAGATGTGACTCTCTTCCTTCTCTATTGGTGATGATGTCGTAAGGCTATTAACGAAATTACCACAAAAGTTTTGAATTTAGGGCCTCTGTTTGAGTCTAAAAAATATACGGAATGTTAACTTAAACATACTCGAGATGTGACTTAACGTCAGCAAAATTAAGTAGTGTGTACAACGTGATAACTCTCATCTGTTTTTCTATCAAATAGTAAACCGTGCAAGCACTTACTAGCTTGCCACATCCATTGAATACTAATATGTTACTAGTAGATTGACATATATCTGTATTGCCTAAATTTTGAGGTACAATATTCCTTGTTGATTGTAATTCAAGATCGAAGTAGTATAATCAAAATTAGGTAGCCTCATACATTAAGTATGCTTCACATATTAATTCTTAGAGATGTAATTTGTTCTTTACTGTCCTCTTAAGTTTATTTAAATACTTGAATGATGTATATGATTATGTCATAATAACTTGTTAATAATATTAGATGTGTTGTGTCTGTACGAAATTCTCTTTCGAAAGGGTACATCTACTTATATTGAATAGGTTCATCAACTCTAGCCCCATATGATAAATGCACAGGCAAATGCTCCATGATGTTAAAAAATCCTGAATGAAATATCTTCTCAAGCTTGTACAAAATGAAAGGAATATTATGCTCAGTATAGACCAAAACTTCTTCATTCAGTCTTGATTAGCATAAATCCTTAAAGAAGATACATAGTTCAGTCAGTGGATTTAATATTGAATCCAGAAGAGAACTGAAAGTAGTGGGCAGCAAACATTTCATGAAGATCTGACAGTCATGACTTTTCAACCCAAATAATCTCTCCGATTTCATATCAACATATCTATTGAGGTTGGAAGTATATTCTAGTAGACTTGGTTGTGAAAAATTATTTCCAACGCAAAAGCTTTGAAAAAGAAGTTATAGCCAAATAGAAGTTTGGTAATGATTTTTAAACTAAAGGTAGTAAAAAATTTATCCTTTGATGCTCGAGTGCATGTTTCTAAAAAGATTTGCAATTGGCCATATGGGCTATTTATTTGTTAATCTTAAGATCTATTATACAGTTTGGTCTATTTGTCAGTTAACTTGGTTTCTATAAAATTTGGAGGTTATTATTATTATTATTATTATTATTATTATTATTATTATTATTATTTTTAAATTTGAATGTGACGCAACTTTCTGATTTTCCCTTAAGCTTTTATGAAGCTATATAAATCAATTAGCTATATGACATTTCAATACTTGGGTGGGATCCGCCCTATAAAAGAAATAGCGATCTAGTCTATAAATATTGGAATAAAAACAAAGGCTATAGCTTGGTTATCCAATGTTATTTAAAAGATAATGCATTTTTTATTATCCTGATACAAGACCACAAACTTATTTTTTGACATCATCTCACAAGTAAATTTACTGCGCCTAGGTTGTATTATTGCTCATTATCTGAAAAGAAATTAAAAATAGCATAACTATAGAAAGGGGAGAGGAGGTTATTTTGAAATACCATAGAAGGATTTTATTGTTTATTAGTGAGGTAGTGAAAATTTTTTATTTATTTCCAAATGAAATAACAAAGTTAAGATACATTAATCAGATCTTTTGCTAGACTTTCCATATCAAGGAGCTCAACAATCTCTTTAAATTCCCATGCATCAATTTATACAAACTTTAGGCTACCAAAAATCCTGAGCAAAACTTGAGGGCAATGAGAAGGAAAATAAAAATTGAGAGCCGCCAAAGCTCCTAAGTGTTCTCAATGGAGAATAGTGTTCATTAATCATTCCCTATTCCAGCTGTGTCACTGTTATCTCCATTACCATATTTATGTAACTCTCAATATTATCTTCATGATCGTATTTATAGAACTCACAATATATCTCCATGTTCATATTTATGAAACTCTCAATATTATCTCTATAATCATATTTATGGAACTCTTTAGGTATTAAAATCAATGCCAATCATAATAAACATTTTGAATGTTCTTTCTAGCACTATTTTTTCCTTGCAGGTCACTAAAAGATTAGAAGAGCTCAAACAAGAGTATGAAAAGCAACATGGGATCTCTTTGCCACAACTCACTTCTTGTAGTAAGCCATTGAAGTCGCTGCAATCCCCAGCAAAACCATCAGATGATTGACTACATGAACTGAAAATGCTTGTATTTGTAAATTCTTATGGCTTAGATTAATGTGAAAATGAGGGAAAATATGTCAGAAGGGTGCTTATATGTATAGAATTAATGGTTGTAGATTCATAATGAAAGCCACAGCCTGTTTTATTTCTTTCGTTCCTTTCTTTTTGAAACATGCAAACCACAGAAAGTCATATTGTTTGGAACTTCTCATATATACTTGAATTCTTTGTTTGTTATATAAAGAAGGTAACATTGTTACATTTGACTTGTGCAACCATTTAATAGCCTTTTCCAAAAGATTTGAATAAGGTTAAAGATATAGTGCATGAAGTTGTTTCATTATCTTGATTTAGGCTTTGTTTGGAAAGATTTTTTTATTGCTTCTTACAAAAGATTGTTACATTTGACCTCACCTCTTTTTTTTTTTTTTTTCTTCTCATTTTGAATCCTAAAAATCGGCATGGCTGCTCATCGCTTGAGTGACCTTGGTTTATTGGTTGTAAAATACAAATCGTGGTCTTTTTGAGAGGTTTTGTCTGGTGAGTCAGCTTCTCCAATGTTTCCTTTGCTTAAACCTTCTTCTTGCCATGATTTGATAGCTTTGTTGATTTCAGAAGATGAAATGAGTTCTCTTGTTGCTCCATTTGAGTTTGTTTTAGTTGGGAAGTTCACTGCTCGTCGCCCTCCACTCGATATCATTTGTAATTTTTTTTTTATGAATCTGGAATTGATTGTTGAATTTTTTGTTACTTTGTTGAACCCTAAGAATATTTTAATTAAATTGAGAAATGATTTGGATTACTGTCAGATGTTCTCCCGCTGTTCCTATTTTGTCAACAACTATTATATGAAGCTTTTTAAGTGGTCTCCTTACTTTGTTGTGAATGTTGAATCTCATGTTATTCCCATTTGAGTGTCGTTTCCCTACCTTCACCTGCATCTCTTTTCTCCTCGCATTTTGCATGGGTTAGGGCCTTTGTTTGGTAGACCCTTACGTATTGATAATGCCACTAGACCTTTGGTAGCTCATATACTTATTGAGTTAGATATTATTAAACATTATCTTAATCAAGTGTGGCTTGGGTCTGATTCAGTGGGGTACATTCAATCCGTAGAGATGGAAGAATTTTTCCCGTATTGCTTTCATTGTAAATTTTGGGTCACATGAGAGATGTTTGATCTATTTTGTTTCCTAATTTGGGTCATGTGAGAGATGTTTCCCCTCATGTGGTGGAGGGACCTTTGGTAAGCGCTCATACTTTGCAAAATGCTGGTGATATTCCAGCTTTCGTTGGGGTGGGTCATTGTGTTGGTGATGTCCCTTTAGATAACAGTGGTGCTGATGGGGGTGATCCTTCTATAATTATTGTTGGGGAGCAAAAAAATATGGCTACATTGGTTGAGGGTGATGTTGATTTCCTTGATTCTGATAAATTGTTTCTTCTAATGTAGCTTTCTTGAGTCAGCGAATGTTAATTTGATTAAAGATAGTGTTGTTGAGTATTGTTGTGTTGCTTTTGCTCCTAGAGTGGAGGAGGTTGAAGTTGTTGGTCCTTTGGATCATTGTGCTTCGGTCAGACATTCCTTTGTTGTGGGGAGTGTTGTTTGTGATTCTTTGTTTGATGTTCCTGTCGAACAAATTTCACCTAATGTTCTTTAGTAACATATTTTGTTGAGGTCAGGGGAGTCCTGTTTGAGGCAAATTGATTGGTTGGATGATTTTTAGGACTCTTCGTGTGATCTGGAGGATGACTTGGGGGTGATGTTGGGGCCATATAGGATTTGTATGACTTGGAGGTTTCTCGTGCTTTGGAACCCCGTTTATGTCATGGTGGCAAACCACATCATTGCAAATCTAGGAGATAAGATTTTTCTTTCTCCTTTTGTTTTCGTTTGCAGGGCTAGTTATTTTTTGTTTCTCTTATGCTACTCTCAAATTTTTTTGGGTTATGATGTTCTAGTGCGGCTCATTTTGGCTTGGTTTTGATGAGCTATGGCTCAGTTGCTTGGGTTATTTACCTGCTATATTGTGGTTTTGGATTTGGCCTTGGACTATGATGAGGTAGTATCCCTACACGCCCTGCGAATAGCCATGGCTTTTTTTGTAACCTTGGTGGTCCTTTTCCATATCAGAATTTTTGGACTTTTACTTTGGTGAACTTGATGTGTTTGGAATCTATGTGATTGCATCCTTTTCCTACTTGGATGGCCCAAGCTTGGCAACCAGGTGGCGGTCTCAGTCCAATTGCTTTGGGATTTTTCCTTTTCATTGTCTTGTTCAGGTTGTTTGGTCGGACACTAACTGTTATGTCCTCTCACTGTATTTGTCTTATCTGTGGCCTCTTTTTTGGATTTATGTGCCTCCTTTATCTAATGAAATTTTCTTAAAAAAAAAAAAGATTTACAAATTTATGTTTATTAATCTATTAGCCCGAGCCCATAATTGGAGCTTGTTTTTATTTGAGTGTGACGTTGTAGATAAATCAATTTTTTTCTTAAGCTTTTACAAGATATATGAATCGATTAACTCTTATGATAAAATATTGCAACATAATAAGATACTTGGGTGGAATCCCCTATAGAAGAAATAGCCATCTGATATATAATTAAAAAAAAAAAAAAAAAAGACACAAAGGCTACAACTTGATATTGAATAGTATTTGAAAAATAATGCAATTTTTATTATATTTATGTTAAGACCACAAATGTAATCTTTCTGTCACAAGTAAATTTACTCCATCTCAAACTATATTATAGAACATGTTGTAAAAGAAATAAAAAATAACATAAATTAGATGGGGCTGGTAGTTATTTAGAAATATCATATAAGGATTTCATTGCTTGTTATTGTTGGAGAAATTTTGTCATCCTCAATGGATTGAGATATTTTATGATCGAGCACGACATAGAAAATAACATATTATCAATGATGAGAAAATTATTATTTTGCTATGGACACAATACCAAAAATTATAATGTATTTTATCATAGATTTTTTTCTATTCAATATTTAATTGAATATATATTGAATATGGTTTATTTTATTCTAGGGTACGAATGTCTCATAGGGGCAAGTCTTTATGGTTAATTACATCTTAAACATTTATTACTTAAAATACTTTTTGATTAAACTAGTGATTTTCTTAGGCTTCGTTTGGGACGGCTTTTTTATTGATTTCTAAAACAGAGTTTTAGTACAAATTTTTTTAATTTTGTACTAAAACTCCGTTTTAGAAAGCAATAAAAAAGCCGTCCGAAACGAAGCCTTAGTGTCATTAAAACATTGGCTAGTTCATTTTTAAATTTGAGATATTCTTGTTCAAAGATTTGGTTTTTGAAAATTTCAAAGATGAAGTGATTAATTTTAAATCAGATTTTAAGAATGAGAGCCAAAGACATGAAATATAAGAGCACTTGATTCTGATAAATTCAAAGTGCTCAAACTATTCTATGTTGAACATTATATTTTAAAATTAGATAGTTATTTAAGTTAATCAATTTAATTTAAAATATTGGATCTTATATTCTAGCAACACATTAAAAAACAAGTGCATGAAATGTGAGGCGAAATCCAAGAGCTAAGGTGAAGATTACTTAGGGATAGTATCTCAAATCTAAGTCTAATGGTGTACAATGGACTTACAAACCCACACCTCACATGAGACACAAGTAATCCTGATCTCTGGATTTATAACCCTACTCGGAAAGGACTACCAGCTAAACACACCTAAGCGCTTTTAAAACCATATAGTTCAGTCTTAATGCATATGAAGAGACCGATTGACTTCCCATCATTTGGAAGTTGCCGCCGACAAGAGGAGGAGGTGATCGAAAGATCGTCTGTACCAACGATTTGAACTTCTCATCTTTTTGTTTTTAGAGCTCAAGATCTTCTATAAAGTGGCGGAGGAGTTCTAGGCGAAGCAAAGGAACTAATAAACTCTTTGTGAGATCGACTGTGTGAAGGTATCTCTCTCACTTTAGGCTTTACTTTGGTTCTTAAATAGATCATTTGGGAAACCATATGGAGATTCATGAATTATTCCCCATCCTTATGCGAACATTCTCTACTCTAATCTCATATTTCATGCCATTTAATCTACTATCAATAAAGTTTGAAATGAGTTTCGAAACTAAGGTTTTTAGCAACCTCACAGTAAAAGACGAGTACATAACCGTCCGATCCACTCTATTTTGATTGAATGATTGTAATTTTGTCGAATCTGCGGCTTGATCTGAGCGGCCAAAATCATAGGATGGATGGGTCTCCTTTCGGTTGAATCAGAGTTGTCCGAGCATTCTGAATCCAGTGTAACTGTGAGATAAGATCCCTACCTTTGGATGGAGACTATGGGATCGAGCAGCTCTGCTCTGTTATTGACTCACTTAAGTGAGCTGACGTGGCACTTAAGTGAGCTAACATTGTAGGCGCGTCATTGTTCCAGTAGTCAACCAGGAGGCCGTCACGCGAAAAGCTATACCCAATATTGTTCATTAATTTCTAATGATTGTCATTGGCGCAATCATCAGTAATTAATGTGTCAATGGTTTATCATTAATTATAAATTACAAAATTTGTTTTAAACTTCAAATAATCCTACAAAATTTCATTCTTAACCAATTTTGACAAACAACCCCCCTTCAATCTCTCCGGAATAAAATTCCCTATCTTTTAAAAATAAAATTAGTGTTTGATAATTAGTTCATAGGAAATAATTTCAGTTATATCTATTCTCAAATTTCCTTATGCATTAAATAAATATCTAATTAAGTTCAAATTTAAATGATATGAATTTGATTATGTTATGCATATTCTTTGATTTTTCCATGATTATTTGAAATCAAATTCTTTCATAGATGAATTTCCAAATATATGATTCATTATTTGAGTTGCATCTTTGGAAATTAATCATTAATTTTACAATGATTCAATAATTGCATCTAGATATTTCATGTAATCAGTGAATAACCCTTTTCAAAGAAAAATAGATTTAATCAAATCTATTGA